ATTGTTCAGAATGATTATCCTATGAGATAGGTGGGCTGAGAAAAAAATGACTAGTCTAAATACATATGTAACTGTGGAAACTGAATTTCCACAGTTAGGTATGTATTGGGTTGGTAATTTCCCTAGTTTCCCTAGCTCTGTCCAATGCATAACAAAATGCATAAACCTATTATTAAGTCCATAGCTCTTCCGAAAGCTGCCACTAAATTGCAAGTTTTAATATGATGGGATAGGAGTCAGTTTGTTGAGTTGGGAGGTTATAGAAACTGAATACCTAAACATAAATATATTTTTATATACATGGGAAGTAATTCATCGCATTTGTTTTTATTTCATTTTAAACTTCAGTTTTAGTGGAAGCTTTTGTCCTGGCCTAATTTATTCTTTGTTCTTTTCAGCATTTGTACTTGTCAGCATTTGTATCCAAATGCAACTTGCAATGGCCAACAAGAAAAACTATAACCATACACACTCCCACCTTATCCACTGGCTCTAACTCTATGTGATAATGGGGTTAAAACTTTGTATGGTTGGATGAAAAATGTAGCAATATGGCATCCTCTGATAAAACTCAATGGTACAAAAAGCAAGGCAGATAAAAAGAAGTATTCCACATTACCACATTTTTCTACTACACATGATGGTCACCAACTTGGGTAGATTGCATACTTGAAGCCACGTACTTCTAGTTAATGAAATCAATTGTGAGGAAATATGATCAGAACAATGTATGTTTTGTGCAGCTACTGAGACTCTGGCAAAATAAAATGGAACTAGATATTCTTTGATGTGGTCTAACAAACCACTTTTAATGTGATGTTTTTGTTAGGCTTCTGATCTGCCAATAACCCCAATTCACTTGCTCTGATTTAGTTTATAGCAGCTTTTAATGCTAAGTATGATGTGGAAAATTATTGTAGAGTACAAACAAATCCTTCTCTTGATACACCTGGACTTTCTTACAGATTGACAATGAACAGGTTTGTGCAATAGGACTCCAGAATGCTGTCTCAGAGTTGGCAACATCTCTTGCTATAACCTGATAGGGTAGGAAGAGAAAAAATTAAATAAAAAATAACAATAGGGCTGGCAATGGTACAATGCTGAGTATTTACACAGTTCTTGTAAGAGTTGTGCTGAATCTTCGAAAACGGCCAAGCAAATCTAACAGGGTATCCAGATTGCCAGTACTAGTCGTGTGATGTGTAGCTTATTTTGAAGTTCCTCACATAAGTGCATTACGGCTGAGACTTTATGGTGATCACTGCAGGAAAGCCAGGGCTAATTAAGTTGGAAGGCTTATATACTCTCATTCTTTGTATCCCTAAGCAGTTTTTTTTAATTTGTAGTTCTTATGCTAGCAAATGCCAGGAACCTCTGGTAGTTTCTTTCGGGTTCTTCAGTCAAAAGATTAGACACAGTGGTTATACTACTGTGAAAGACAAACTGCCTGAGAGGATAAACCTTCTGCTAAAATAAACAGCCATGGAAATAATCAACTCTATTACCAGTTTATGGAGAGAAGTAAAGAGGCACAACAGACCAGGATTCACTGGTTCTTTTTCTTAGTAAAAGGTGATATAGAATATAATAAAATACTTTATTGGCCAAGTGTGATTGGAAACACAAGGAATTTGTCTTGGTGTAAATACTCTCAGTATACATAAAAGAAAAGATACATTCGTTAAGAATCAAGAATCAATATAAATTGTAAGGTACAATCACAAGTGGGAGGGGAGTGATAAGGAGTGATGAGAAGATTAAGAGTAATAGTAGTGCAGACTTTGTAATAGTTGAACAGTGTTGAGGGAATTATTTGCTTAGCAGAGTGATGGCTTTCAGGAAAAAAACTGTTCTTTTAGTGCTCTATAACATTTTGAGGGAAGGGGTTGAAACAGTTTATGTCCGGGATGTGAGGGGTCTGTAAATATTTTCACAGCCCTCTTTTTGACTCGTGCAGTATCAGAATGTTAGGTGAACTGGAATCAACTATTTTTTTCCATCATGGGAAATTCCAAATGGAAATTGCTTTTCCTAACATACTTGGTCATCAATGTAAATCTCATAAGATTTATTTAGTTTTACATGAAATGTTCCAATATCATTTGCTACAAAAATTATCTATTATAAACATTTTAAATATACATATACATATGTAAGTTCTTTTTCTTTTTTTAGTATAATGCAGGACAATTTTCAAAAACGTATGGATTCCTTTTCCAAATGTGGCCTTCCCAAGAAAGAGGCTTTTTGTGTAGATTGTTTTTAAAAAAAACAAATTTTATTAATTTTCAAAGACAATACACAAACAAACAAAACATAAAACGTAAAAAACATAAAACATCTTTTCTGAAAGCTGCTTGGTCCCAGGTTACATCTCTTCATACAGACACGAATTCAAATTCATGTTCATTTTATATATCATTCCATATCTTGCTACCATTTTACATTCTCTATATAGCTTCTCCCATCTAACTTTCTTAAATTTATTTTATTTATCTCATCTCAGTTCAGATCATTATGCTTATTATTCTTTGTCTGTTCTGTTTCCAGTTATCTATTTATCTTTTCTCTTTAAACAAAATTTCTCCTGTACACTAATTGGAGTATGACTCCTATCTCTTTCCCCTAAATTTATAACACTTAATATAGTACATAACCTCCATTTGGATTCTGCTTAGTACATTCTAAAGTTACACATTATATTTTAAAGAAAGAAAAAAAAATTACAAATATATAATATAATTAAAACAATCCATACCAATTCAAATCTATCATTAATATTAATATTCATTTGAATCTTAAACATTTTACACATTACTTTTCAATTGAATATCATGCTTTTATGGGAACACTTATAGACTTTCCATAATTATTTCCCCCCCACTTCACATCACTTATATTTTAAAAACATTGTATCATTAAAATGTTCCCATTCCTTCCTACTTCAATTCTCTCATTTATTTCATTGCCTTCCTTTTATTCACAAAAATTTCACTAAGTTACACTGAATATTTTATCCCACTTTTTAGTCACATGTTGTTTCCAATTTTCTAACATTATTTCTAAATACAAATATAACAATACAATCTAATGTATCTTTGCAGAATCCCTTCAATTAAGTTTTTACCCATTATCTCTAAATGAATCTTGTTTCTTTACATCTTGCTCCACACCATTGAAGCTTCTCATCCCGTCCTTCTTCCCTTGCTTCTTCTTCTCCCTGCCCTTTTTACCCCCTTGTCTCTCCACCTCCCTTTCCCTCTTCTGTATTCCCCCTTTCTGTTGTTTTCTAACATTATATCCATTTTTCATCTTATTTTTCTCTTTTTTTTGGTTGTTGTTTTTTTAAATCTTAAAGTCTCCTTTTTCTTTTCCTCCTTTTCCCTTTCTTCCCCAAGTAAAGTTACTAGTTCATCAAAGATGGCTTCTTCTTTGTCCCAATCATCTTGTTGCGCAGTCAGTTTCTCATAGGTGCAAATCGCCATTTCTGAGAATTGAAAAAAAGAGAGCCAAGAGAGCCCTTCCCTTCTTGTTCCTCTTCTTTGTATTTTTTGAATTCAGTTTTCAATTCATTCACAATTGATGCCATTGTAGAAAGAAAAGTTTTTTTCAAAACAACCACCCAAGTGTTTTTAGTCCTTCAAAGATAGTTTCCAAAAGTCCCAAAGTCACCAAACAGTCCAAATAAGCTGTTTCTTTTAGCACTTTCTTCACTTTCTCTTTCTGGGGTTACAGTTTAGTTACAAAATTCCAGTTAAAATGTATCTTTTAGAAGTCTTGTTAGTATTTAATAATTCTTTAAAGCTCTAGGCAATCTCCTCTATACTTCCAAATCCTGCTCCAATTCTTTTCCTCTCCCTTCCCACCTACAGCAAAAAAAGATTTTTTTAAATGTTCAGAAATCCTTATTATCCCTTTAACATTTAGTTATCCAGTTTAGTTACCTATTAATCCAAAGCGGGTTTTTCCGATTTCTTTCCGTTCGCTGTCAACTTTAGGAAGGAGAGTGAAAAAAAAAACTTTCCCTTTTAACTTTCATCTGCCGCTTGTAAGTCTCTGGGAACAATGTATCTTTTGCAAATTTTAAGTTCCAGGGTACCTTCGTTGTTGCTTTGTCCCAGTCAGCCAAAAAAACCTTTCACTTCTTGACTTCCTCCTGCACTTTCTTTCCCAACTGAGCACTTCTTTGTGGCGGACATTTCTGACCGCCGCTCATACCGCCTTCGGAAAAGGGAGTTTAGCTGGCTAGGGAGGAGAGGTGCGATCCTCTCGACCCTGCCAGATCCCCCATCTTCACCACCTTCTACGGAGGTGGCTTAGCCCTGAAGCCAGATTGCTCAGGGCACTCCAGCGGTGAGCACAGGCGAAAACCACGCAGGATCACGGATTCCTGCCTGCCCCAAAGCGCTGCAAATATGAGATTGGATAATTATATTAGAGCAAGGGTCTTCAAGTTTAAGACGTGTTGACTTCAACTCTCAGAATTCCTGAGCTAACATGACTAGAGGAGGAATTCTGGGAATTGAAGTCAACAAGTCCTAAAGCTGTCAAGTTTGAAGACCCCTGTATTAGAAAATTAATGTGAGAAATGAATGATTAAGCTACTTTCTCGGGGGAAAGAATTCAATTTGTTTTATACATCTTTTTCCCTAAGTAAAAGCTGTTTGGGAAATCTTAGGATGAACTTCTAAGTTCCAGGTAGCCCAGGTGTTAGCATATGCCTTACCAATGTTACTCGATCTTCCAGTTTATTGTTGGATATGAACAGTGTTCCATGTGAAAAAATGTATTCATCTTGAAGTGAAAAGTAGAAAAATCAATTAGCACTGCAAAAATCATTCCAATGTAACCTGCTTGTTTTCTTAATATGACAGAACTACACCTGTCATTGGGAAACTATTCATGAAAAAGAACAGGGAGAGAAATACCTACAAGAGCCATTCCTACAACCCATTTCAGGAAACATTGTTGAAAAAGAAGCCAGAAAGTTAACTTACTATTTTTCTTGTACATCAGGATTTCAAATGAGTTCACCTCATAGTTCTCAAAAGTTTGCCGAACCTTATCAATTGTATCTTTATCTGTCAGCTCTCCATACATGAAACTGCAAGGAAATAAACAAAATAAGGCAGGTGAAAATCACAAGCAAGACTTCAAGGCACAACAGGTTTAAACTGTATTAAATGTTCTTTGAGTACTCTTTCCGAACTCACTTTCGCAGAGAATAGGATTGGCTGGTTTGTTTTACATGCCACTCCAATCAACAATTGACACTGAGAGGCTCAATAATATTTTTAAAAAATATAAGAACCATAATAACAATTTGTTGTTAAGTGAGGTTATTAAATGATATTTGTCAGCTACAAAACCTCATTCTGTTGGTGGGACCAATTCCCCTTTCCTCCTATAATTTCCCAAATCTGTTGTAGAGGTTAGATGACATTTCAGAAGAGATATAGATAGTGTAGAGGGAAGGTTAGCATGATGAAATCCTATCCTGAGTAGAAGTCTCCTTGGGTGTCTTTGGATACAGCTGAACTAGAAGAAGAGACTCGTCTCTGAAAGCCATTATATGACGAGAATTTCACAATAAATACTGGCTCCTACATATTATGTGCTTCCTTTAGCTGGGCCATCTCTCTCTGTGTGTATTTGCAACTCCATTTGCACTCCTTAGAAGCCATTTCTTCCTGGGGAACTAAGGAATTCAATTTTCAAGACAAAAGACTATGGAATGCTCAAATAGAAGATTATTGACAATTCCCAAAAGTGTAATTCCCCAAGATTCTTGGCAACCAGTAGTGGCAATTAACGTGCTACAAAACTGCAAAACACCACAATGATGTGATCCCCAATTATAATTTCAAAAAAGGCAACTATGATCTTATAAACAACGATCTCTCATCCCTTGATTGGCAATCTCTATTCAATGGATGCAATACTGTTGAAGACCATTACAACATATTTTTACTTGAAGTCAAAAGAGTCATAAAACTATATGTACCAACAACTACTCCCAAAACAAAACAAAAAAACAGATTGCCCATAACAATAAGGAAACTTCAATCCAAAAAGAGATCACTCTGGCGGAAAAACAAATCTGGTCACGTTGCCAATTTCAAAAGCCGATACAAAAATTTATGCCACCAAATAAAGACCGAATGCACCAATTATCATATTAAACAAGAGGAAAACCTTCTAAGCACCAATTCCACCAATGCTTTTTACAATTTTGTAAACAACAAACTAAAAGATTCAAGGTCCATCCCACCCCTGATAGGACCTAATGGTAAAGACTGCAATGACGACACCATTAAAGCCAACATCTTTAACACATTTTTTGGCTCAGTATTTGTAAACAGCAATGGATCATGCCCAGCATTTCCTAGCCGAACCACAGATAACTACAGTGATCTAATACATATCGATTTTACAGAAGACAATGTTGAAAAAGCACTACGCAATCTAAAACCATCCCTATCTATTGGACCGGATGGAATATGTGCCTATCTCTTAAAAAAGTTATCCACTGCCATAACCGAACCTCTAAGCATAATCTTTGAAAAATCTTTCAGGACCAGTTCCTTGCCTAACCTATGGTCACAAGCCACAGTCATCCCCATCTTCAAAAAGGGAGACCCTTGCCTAGTTGAAAATTACAGACCAATCTCCTTATGCTGCGTCACCTGTAAAGTCATGGAATCAATTATTAACCAATCCATCATCCTCCACTTAGAGACAAACAACCTACTCTCCAATAAACAATTTGGTTTCAGAAAAAAGCTATCCTGTAATCTGCAACTCTTACACTGCAAAAACATATGGACTACACAACTTGATCAGGGCAAAACAATAGATGCAATCTACATAGACTTCTGTAAAGCCTTTGATTCAGTGGTACATGACAAACTACTACTAAAAATAAAATCCTATGGTATCTCTGGACAACTGCATAACTGGATAGAAGCATTCCTGTCAAACAGACAACAAATGGTCAAAATTGGGAGTGTCCTATCAAATTCTGTACCTGTCAATAGTGGTGTCCCCCAAGGCAGTGTTCTAGGACCAACTCTCTTCATACTCTACATAAATGACCTCTGTGATCATATTAAGAGCAACTGCGTTCTTTTCGCTGATGATGTAAAGCTGTTCAATACCACAGACAATACTGCTACCCTTCAAAAAGATCTTGACTATGTATCAGAATGGTCAAACAAATGGCAACTTCAAATCTCAACAAATAAATGCTCTGTCTTACATATTGGCAAAAAAAATCCGAAAATAAAATACAAGCTGAATAGTCAAGATCTTGTTGATGATCCAAGCTCTGTAAAGGACCTTGGAATACTCACCTCTAATGATCTAAGTGCTAGTGCCCACTGCAACTACATAGCCAAAAAGGCATTAAGAGTTGTTAACCTAATCTTACGTAGCTTTTTCTCTGGTAATATCACACTACTAACTAGAGCATACAAAACATTTGCTAGACCAATACTCGAATACAGCTCATCAGTCTGGAACCCACATTACGTATCTGATATTAGCACAATTGAGAAAGTCCAGAAATATTTCACAAGAAGAGTTCTCCACTCCTCTACTCGTTGTAGAATACCTTATGCCACCAGACTTGAAATTCTAGAACTAGAAAACCTTGAATTACGCCGTCTTCGGTCTGATTTAAGCATGGTATATAAAATCATACATTGCAATGTCCTACCTGTCAATGAATACTTCAGCTTCAACCATAACAACACAAGAACACACAACAGATACAAACTCAAGGTTAACCGCACCAAGCTTGACTGCAGGAAATACGACTTTAGCAACAGAGTGGTCAATGTCTGGAATACTCTACCCGACTCTGTAGTTTCTTCCCCAAACCCCAAAAACTTTAACCTTAGACTGTCTACTATTGACCTCACCCCTTTCCTAAGAGGTCTGTAGGGGGCGTGCATAAGCGCACCAACGTGCCTACCGTCCCTGTCCTATTGTTTCTTTTATTTTTCTTTTATTTTTCTTATATGTACTCATTTCATGTATTCATAATTATGTATACACTTTTACTTATCTCGTAAACAATTGACAAATAAATAAAATAAATAAAATAAAATAAAATTAAGTTCATAGCAAGAGAAAAGATAAAAACCTGATTGGTGTAAAAAGGGAGATTCAATAATTGTTTAGCTCAGTAGTGCCACATTACCCACTGTGGAGAAGGGTGGGAAGAATCAAAGAAATAAGGAGCCAGCTAGGACAAAGAGTTTAGCACAACGATTTCATACTGTGTTTTATTTAGGCACAGGGAATTAACTTTGCACTCTTTCTTCAAGAGTAGCAAAGATCCCATCTTCTCCTCTTCCCAGAAAACTGATTTTAGAGTTTTGACAGCAGCAGCACCTAAATAACCTCAGATAACCTCAAAAAGTGAAAGCAAGTTCAGTATGATTAGTACTCTGGTTAAAATAAACACCTAGGAGTCCCACAGCACTGTCTGGATATTTAAAAATATCTTGGAAGAAAGCAAGAGTAAACCAGTTCCAGACTTTTGCAAGAAAACAACTTGAATATGCCCATGAAGATACTTTGAAGCAAGTTGAGAGAAACTTTTTTTAATATGAACAACTCCACTGTGAAATCTGAATCCAGTTGGTAAAGGGCTAGACTGAACAATATGGCTGCACAACAAACTGAAAAGGGAAGGAGAAAATAGGAAGGGAAGGAGGGTATGTGGGCATACACATGTCATTGTGGGTATACACATGGCATTTTACAAAGCACAAGAATGTAAAACTGCATAATCAGTTCCTCAATAGTATTTAACATAGGAGTTAATTACAGTTATACCATTTAATAGTATGGTAAAAGATGGGAGAGTAAAGAAAGAAAGTATAACAATTCTGTTAGGAAATCTAGGTCAGAAGTTCGTCTGAATACATATGCATTAAGAACTTTATGACACGTCTGAGCCATAAAATCTGGGAATGTAGGGGGGTTGTGAATTTAACATATGATGGGCACTACATTTTGAAGGTAGGGCTACAGGTATGACTTATCAGTAGGAAATCAAGACTCATTGTAGATTGTACCTTAAGAAAAATTGGTTCCAAATCCTAGTTCAACCCTGTAACTTGTTACAAAACTCTGGCTGAGCAAATGAAAGCCAATTTGGTGTAGTGGAAAAGGCACCAGGATACTGTGAGTTCTAGTCCTGCCATAGGCACGACGCCAGCTAGGTGATTTTGGGTCAATCACTCTCTCTCAGCTCAGGAAGGAGTCAAGGTCAAAAGACTTCCAAAATCTTGTCAAGAAGTAGTTGCCAGGAATCAAGATTGACTTGAAGATACATACACAATTTCCTTTAGATGGGAACACCTTATATGTAAACTTCTTGGAAGATAGAAAAGATCCAGAATGTTGCTCCTTCCCTGATCTCGACAGCACACATAAAATCCAAGGGACTCATTTTGCTTGATGAAGAACACAGAAATATTAGCAGTCACTTTACAGAAATACAAACCTGTAACTGTAAATAAGCCTGTACTGAAATACCTGCAGGTGCTGCTCTTTTGCATAACTTCTGCTCGGTGGTATCCTGACAGCTTGCAGAATCCATCATTGCTGTATACAACTGGCCAATCCACTATCTGCGCATTACCCAGGACAAAATTTGTATCTGTTTGAAACAACAGTTCTGTTAGATAAAGAAGTTCCATGGCATATTGATTATACAATAGACTCTTCCTTGTTCTCTTATCTAGGTCAAATATTATCTGACACAAAAGAGTTAGAGAAACCTGGTAATCTTACATATGTTTCCCACCTTGGAGATTAAGAATAGTCTTTGGACTGAGAGACTTGCTTTCATTCCAGCAACTAATGGCTAAATTAGATACGGCATTAATTGCCTCACCACAATGTCTATGTATGTTTCTTTTTTAAAAGAACATTACAGTAACTGCAGAGAGTGGAGAAAGAGATTGATTCATCCCTTTCATTCCTATCTTGATCAGATTGCTATTTTGCACCTGCAGTTCTGAGGCTGTTTCAATTGTCCTTGTTGGAAACTGAACTGATAATGAATTAATATTTTGACATTATCACTGTGCTTTCACTTGTCTGGCATCATCTTTACTGCGAGAATTATTGATACGTAGTTCCAGGGGTGGGATTCAAAAATTTTAACAACCTGTTCTGTGGGCGTGGCTTAGGTGATGGGCGTGGCTTTGTGGTCATGTTATTGGCTGGGTGTGGCCAACTCAACATCACTCACATCGAGGCACGCATCTCCTTGCCTAGCCTCTCATGATTGTGGGGATGCTGCAACAGTTGTAAGTGTGAAAAATGGTCATAAGTCACTTTTTTCAGTGCCATTGTATCTTTGAATGGTCACTCCACACAAGCAAAGTACTAGCAAAGGAGGGAAAAAACCCTCCAGAGATGTTCCTGAGGCAGGAAGTCTAGTCCTGCCAAGAATGTAATAAGGGTTAATGGAGAGGCAGTTTCTGTAAGCAACACCAGAATGTTTCCTTCCTGCCTTCCTTACAGGATTAGGCCAGTAATTTCTTCTAACAATTGGTTCTCCAAACTGCTTAGAATGTTAACAACTGGTTCTAATAAATAGGTGTGAACTGGTAGAATCCCACCCCTGCATAGTTCTCCCCCACTTCATGGTGCTATGCAGGCACGTGCAGTGAGAAAACCTGAGACTGAGTAAACCATTCTGATATAGGCTAAAAGCCTATCCTAGGTTTAGCAGCCCATTGGCTCAAAGAGGGCATGCATCAAGAAAGTGACTTATACAGCATAGCTTTTCCTCAACAGCTGACTTTATAAACTGTTCCAGGAGATCCTGGGTTACTGTGGAAACCAAGAAGTGGTTCCTCAGTGGAAAGATTGGTAAATAATATTAATAAGAAGAATAGGAATAAGAAGAAATAAAATACACTTCTCTAGGTGGCCACAAAAAATCACTCTTCTCCTATAACCAACGATTTATAGGAAGCGTGGAATCAGAAATTATTTTATTTTCTACAAAATGAAATAAGGACCCACGAAGACATAAAATATCCCATGCCGCATGGCCAGCTGGATCTTCCTGCAAGAGCTTCTGTGCTCTTGGCCTAATTTGTAGGCTTAATATTTTGAAGTGTACCCATCTTCTTTTTTGTCTATTCACATAATTACTCATGACTGATTGCAGATGTGGGTATATCTTATTTTAAATGAATTAAAGGAGGCTGGGTAGCAGGTGTAGTGATATTATAAGTACAAATTTATCCAAGTCCATTTTTGTAGGAAAATAATGGCAATATTAGAAAAAAGGAAGCATACAGAAAACTAGGATCTATAAAAGAAGGAACAATGAATTTACATATCATGATTTAATTCCTTAGTAATCATTTAATATAATTATTCATTACTTTATTGCAATATATTACAATATAATTTTGCATATGTGAAACAAGATACTTAACAATGATAATCATCACAGCATTTTTACCAGTTATTAATGAGTACTAGGATTAATATGAAAATACTATTTTTTTAAAAAAATCTTACATTTCTTGACCTTATAATGGATTTCTGATGTTTGTAAATCATTGACCTTAGAAAGTACAGTATATTTTCAATTTCTTTTTCCAAACTTAAACCACTGTATTCCCAGCCAATTTTGTCAAATAAATCTGAAGCCAAACTAGCAGATTGGCCACTTTTGAATCCAAGTTCTTTTCCAAATTTGGCATGAATTTATATTGCATAGTCAACCCTTTACGACTGGGATTTAGACTCAAAGTCTAGTGCTCTAAATCACCATTCAGAGAGTAGCAAAATTTGATGGCTATGGCAAGAGCATAGTGGCCTTATGTCAGCACCTGGTTTGTCTTGGATATGCAGATACTCATAAAATGAGAGACCACCTAACAACATCTGAAGTCCCAGCTGCACCTCTAAACCCAATTATAGTACAATTCTATTTCAATATTTGGCAGTCCATGTATTTGTTGCAAAATATTTGCAAGCACTGCCAGAAATTTTTATCCAAATGATGGCAAGAGTGTTAACAAAGCCATAATCACCATAAGAAGCAATGGTTAGCAATTGAGCTCAGCCTGTTACCTAATAGCACCCTGATGATTTGCCCTGTTCTATAGCTAGTCTGAAAAATCATGTGTTGGCAGCATGATCTTCTCAGGAAACAAAAGCAATATAATGTACATCAAGCATAACTAATATTAACCAGCAATGTCATTCTCAAGATATTATCTTGAATTTCAAAGTCATTGATAGAATGTAGCACATGATGTCACATTTTTTATGGTTACATCGTTTTCTGTCATTGAACCATTATATGCAACATACCAATGACAGCCTATAAATCATTACAGAATGTGTGTCTTCACACTATATTCTTTCATATATGCATATGAAGGGTTTCTGAAATGTTTCTTTATTCACAGGATCAAACGGGGGAGGGGGGAGGAAGCCCCTCTCAATGAAGACTACTGTTTTCTCCTCTTTTCCAAATATTTTAATAACTTAAGAAAATACTAGGCTGCATAAGTTCTTTTTCTTTTCTTTTTTCAGTGTTGTGATACCTAATAGATAGATATTGATCTCCACCAAAGCCCAAATAAGTATTCTTATATTTTGTTGCAAAGCTTAATTCCAACCAATAGCAATAATTAATGAAGATCAAACAGTCCTGAGATTTAAAAAAAATCTAAAGACAATTATATTAATTTGTGGAAAAGATGGGAAAGTCTTAACAAAGCAAGGCAATTGTTAGTTCTGGACAGAAATAAGCAAAGAAATACTTTACGTGTATTGTGATCTTTTATTATTTTAGCACAACACTAGAAGAGGATATGAAACTCTTCCCAAAGTCACCATTTCCCACAAATAAGATTTATAAAACCTGTTTTTGCTTTGGTTTGTTCACTGTTCAATGGTTAGGTGATAGCTTTGATGTGTTAAACTGTTTCCTAATATCACAAGGCTGATATTGCTTCCAGAAATTAATCAATACAAGCTCATCTATTTTCTTTTAAATAGTTACTGAATGTGCATACATTACTTGATAAATATAAACATTCAGAACTATCTTGGCTTGTGTGACAATTTATTATGTTTCAGTGGTAGTCAATATGTGCAGTATGCATGTCAGGAGTTATATTTGTAAATATATGCAACATCAAGATCCTTGCAATGCAACAGTTATTTTTGAGGTAGCATACAAATTGATATAACTACAGTAAATGACTGTATTGTTTTAAGAATACAAAAAGCTGCATTATGCTGCATCAAACTACTTATCTGAGTATTGTTGACAGTCTATGATTGGCAATGAGTTTTATATCAAGCAAAATGAGGATGTTCACAATATATTGAACCTAGGGTCATTGGTGTATCACTATAGAAGCCATTAATGTGTATTTGGCTGATAATTTGGTATCAGTTATCAACTCCCCAGGTGGGAGTTCCTGGCATCCCAACTCCTTGCAAGAATATCTCCTTGCCTGAAAGCTGCAAATGAGTTAGGGAAATAAACCAAGAAGGGGCGAAGGGGAGCAAAGTACAGCAATATCAGAAAAAACAGTTGTCTAAAGGGTGCTGTTTTTTTTTCTAGTAGATATATTTGGCTCTATAAACAGTTTTCCCCAAATACACTCAAGATGTCCCCGCCTCCCAACTTTATAGACAGTGAGAAAAAAAAGTTGCTGGGGATTTCTTTCAATCATTTTCAACCCTGATCACAAACCATGAGTGAAGAAAAAGCAGTCAAAGCTTCTTGAGCCTATAAATGCATCATACTATAGAGAAACTCTATACGGAATATTTAGCCAAGATCAGTAGGACTTAAATCTTAAAACCACTTAAATCTGCTAAAAAGTAGCTCTAAGACCAGCAATAATACTTTTCGTTTAATGAACTAAGGGTAGGCAAGCAACTTATAGCCTTCAGCCAAATCCCAAATGTTGCCTGCAAGAAGTTGGCTTGAGCCTCTGGCCAGTGACATGTTCCTCTCTCAAAGCCTATTTTGGATGAGAACAAGTCAAGAAGGAAAGGAAAAATCAGGATGAGAAAGAGGTAAATGAGTAGGAAACCAAGAAAGGGGAAGAGGACCACTGGTCACTTGAGCTCAGGGCTTTACCCACTATCAACATGCAGTTTGAATAGATTTATCAGGGAGATGTTTTTCAAATAGTCAACTACTACAGCAATCGTGTTCCATGCAGATAAAACATTTGAAAGCAAATGGCTTGTTAAGTATGTAGAGAGGCTTCCAAATAAAAAGAGCTGAGATTCTTTCCTAGGGGTGGCCTAACATGTTTATAATGACAAAGATGCACCATAAGCTTTTTATACAGTTCTGTGTTGCTATTTCTACATTTCATTTTTGGAAAAATAAAAATATTATTCATATGGAGTCAGATGAGTCATTATTGCTATCATCAGCAACAGAAAGTCACAAATCAGGGAAATTGGAACATTCAGGTTTATAAACTAAGAATACCCTTTTTTCCATGAAAAGTTTTTCTCATGCACGAAGCATGCAAACTTCAATCAAACACAATTTTAGTGATGTATATCCAGTGGTCAAATTCATTTACAACTGTTAGAAATAACTTTATGTACCCATCATTTATGTATGATGACACTATAACAGCAAGA